AATTGAGAAAAGTATCAGGTTTGTATCCTTTTCTTCAATGCTTGAAACATATGAACATAACAAATCATAAGGAATGCCCCACTCTAACATTGTATCAAGAAGCACTGCATTTTTTATTTTTTTGATAATTGGTAGGAAATGTGTTGTATTTATAGTCAATATTGCAGCCACAATATTGGCAAGAAGCACAATCCTTGTAAAATTTCATGCTAGTTCAGTCTACCCTTCGATTGGACCCACCGAAGTTGCACCCATATATCAAATATTACTATGACTAGCTGATGTGATCTGTTCCTCTATATAGATAAGTTATTTTTTTCTTTTCTTTTCGTTATGTTGCTGAGTGTAGGGCTTGAAATTAGAGAATTAATGTGAAACCTAACATGTTTTTAGATAAGCTTTTTATTTTTCATTTTTTCTTTTAAATCTATATTTTATCAAGTTCATTGTCCATCAGATGATTTACCCAACCAACTTCGAAGATCCATTGACAAGGTTAGTATCATCTTCTTTCAAGGGTTCATCATACTAGGATTTTGTGCAAGTGGGGAACCCTCTGTTGAAAAGCTATGTTGAAAACCCATATTTCTCATTCACCAAGGATTTATTGAATCAGAATTTGTTTAATGAATGTTGTGCTTACAGATAGGATATTACTATTGGGTTGCATATTAACATGCAGTATTGCTACAATACATCAACTGTTACATACAAAATTGTTCCATCTCCCTCAATTTTCTTACTACACGTTACAGTTTTATTATTCTCACTTTTAGGCCAAATGAGGAAGACTCAAAACGCCAAATACACAGTAATAGGAATAAGGTTGTATTCAATTAGAGAAACTATTGTACAAATTATTCAACTTTGTGATTATTGGGCAGTTTACCGTGCCCTTAACCTAGCCAGGCATTCCCGCCATGCAAAATCCCGCCTTTCCCCTGTCAAACATGAATGTGTCTCTCCCTCCAGTCAAACTCTCGATGGTTCCTACTAGGATTAACATGTGCTAGTTCAATGAATTGGTGTAGTATGTCTGTGGGATGAACTTACATATGAGGAAATGGGAAGAACGATTCATCGCCCCGGCAAAGATGCAACAACAACAATAGAACCGGAGCACTGGACTAAACCAGAATAGCCTAGCAACCAAAACCAAAACCCAGTGCTTGATCAACCTCGTCGCTCCAACGACTAGAACCAGGTCCTAATAGAAGAACTAAAGCAGTTCATCAAGAGGAATGACCAGAGCCGACCTACCAACTAGCAAAAAGATGTGCCACAGTCGAGCAGGGATCAAGACAAAGACCAACTCCCTAAGATTCATTTCCGGTAGAGCAGCCCCTCTATGGTGTCATTAACATGATCATGGGTAGATCAATAGTAGCAAGATGCAACACCTCAACAGGGAGAAATTCAGTTTGAGAGCTCAAACACGATGATGAGAACCCACCAAAGCACCCTCGTATGGATGAGGTGAACTACTTCACCAAGGAAGACGCCTGCGAGATCCAGTATTCACATGAAGATACCCTCGTGGTCAAGCTGGTAATAAATGATTTCGAGGTAAAGTGGATTCTATTCAACTTCAGAAGCTTGGTCGACATCATTTTTCTAGAGGCGTTTGAGTCGATGTCCCCTTGGTTGGTTTTAGTGGAGACTACCCCTAGGCCAGGTGAAGGTGCTAGTAACAACGGGCTCAACGCCGAACTCAATACGATTGATCACAACTTCTTAATGGTCGCGACTCCCTCACCCTACAATATCATTTTGGGCTGACCTATCTTGCACGCCCTCTGAGCAGTGGTGTCGACCTACTATCTGGCGATGAAGTTCTCCACGTCATACGAAGTAGGAGTGGTGCGAGGTGACCATCTCGAGACTTGCAAGTGCTATGTGGCCGTGTTGGAGGGCAAGGGAAAGCAAGTCATCGATGTTGATTCGGAGCTGCCCCAAGAGAATGGCGACAAAAGAGCTTGCCCCATGGAGGACACCGTCCTAGTGTCAGTCTTAGATACCGGCCCCGAGAAGATGGTGTAGATTGGAGCCCGCTTCGTCAAACCATTGCGCTCTGACCTAGTAAGTTTCTTAATTAAAAATTTGGATGTTTTTGCTTGGTCGGCAGTAGAAATGCCTGGTATAGGCCCCTCTGTCATAACTCATAAGTTAAATGTTTATCTTTTAGTCAAAGCAGTTCAATAGAAGAAAAAGAACTTAGCCTAGAAACGGTAGAAGATAATCGATGAGGAAGTAGAGAAGCTCCTCATAGTAGACTTCATTAGAAAAGTCCAATATTTGAGTTGGATTGCCAACTCAGTGCTCATAAGAAGGCCAACTTTGTTTTGTGCAAAAATAGAACAAGAAGACAAAACTGAAGCTACTCTGTTTTGTGAAAAAATAGAACAAGAATACGAAGACTTAGTTACTTTGTTTTGTACAGAAGTAGAGCGAGAAGACGAAGCGAAAGCTCTTTATTTTGTGTAGAAGTAGAACGAGAACGGAGACGAAGGTAAGGCCCTTTGTTTTGTGCAGGAGTAGAACGAGAAGACGAACTGAAGCTCTGTTGCAATTTTTCACTTGAGTATGAAAGTGACAGGAAAAATGGGTGACCCCTGCCATTTGGTAAGTTATATTTAACAACAAAAATTCCCTCAAAGTAATTGGGGCATAAAAATAAAACATTAGAGATTTAGAGGCATCTACCAATTGCCTTAGTAATAATCCATAAGAGCAATTGTATTTAGACATCTATACAGATATTTTATCAAACGCCTCTAATTATATACCCTTCCAGCAGTGTATGTAACAAAAATAATTGTTATATGACAAATAAATGTGATCTAAACTAATTGATGAAACCATTACCATATATAACAAAAGCATCACTATAGGTGATCTATACCGACGAGCTGATGGTTACAACCGTTGGTATAGTATAGTATATCTATACTCACGGGAAGAATCATAACCAAAAAGTAGCAAAACTGTAGTTATAGAAATAAAAATAATATAATTTTATAAATACCAACGGTTGAAACCGTCAGTATAACAATATTGATGACCAATCCCTCGCAAAACATAAAATAAAACCGTTGCTAAAAATTATACATTGACCTATTTGTAGTTTTTTTTATGATGAAAAACTATGTCACTAGGACTATACTGACAAGTAAAACGTCTGTTGCTACGGATATAGGAATTATACTAACGGGCAAGAATCTGTTAGAAAAATTTTACTAACGAGAGCTATACCCGTCACTACATATCTAYAAATTATATTGGCCGGATAAAAATTTATGGAAAAGTGCATTGCAGCCAATTACAGAATTTTGAATTCTATTTCAAATTTACACAATTCAGAATAATAAATACCCTCATCCTAAAACAYCAATACTTGCCCGTGAATTGGCATTAATTCCGAGCAGGCACCTACCCCAACTGTATGGTAGGGTTAAGAATTCTTAGGCTGTACTGAACAGTCATTCACCCAAAAATCTATTGGTACCGATCATCGGTATAACCATGGTTTTCAAAACCATATCGAACCAAAAAACCGGGATCCGGTCAAGTGGCCGGTTCTGATTTCCCCAAAACTGGATTTTTACCAAAAAAAAAAACATTGATTTGGTCAGCATACTGCTGACTCGGACGATTGAACCATTTTAACCATTCAATGATTTTGACCATTTTTTGTTAAAATAGACCATCTGTTCAGTTCGAATGATCAGACTGTTTGACTTAGGAACAGGACCCCTGTCCGTTTCGTTGTCCGGGTTGGTTTTAAAAACCTGGGGTATAACCATACAGTGATGAATTTTCAGGTTTTACTTATGATTTTTATGTAGTGGTATATGTCATCAGTTTTATTGTAAATCCTGCATGTTTCCTTTCCCCACACATAATCAGTGATAAAGGGACACTAGTTCTCCATGCGTATAGTGCCATGCCCCCAACTAGGTCAACTCAAGACCGCCAATGGTATTCCCAACAACATAAGTTTAGGCAGTCAGTATTTACAAGTTTGACAGTTACCATAAACAATGGATTAATATAATGTCCAGACCAATATAGTACAACAGTATTTAGTAGCATGAGAATAGAGAATTAGGTAAGGGCTAATGCATGAAATATACGGATTCTTGATGATCATCAAACATAGAGAAACCATTAGGGACGTAAGTCGAGCGGGTTAGGTTCGGTTTAAGCTCAACCCAGGCCCAATCCTTTTTAAGGTTCGATATCAGAATCAAGTCAATCTATCCAACCTTAATTTAGTCAACGCAAAAATTTGATGTATTCAGGTTAGGTTTGGGCAGGGTTGATCCAGCCTTATACTCAAGAAGCGTATCTTATAGACTCTAGGTCCAGCCCTAGAAACATAAAATCCAAGTTAAATCCATGTAAAATTGTAGACTGGATTAATTCGGTTTAAAGTTGAGGTGTCAATGGACCAGTTTTGGATTGGACCCCATCCAGTCCAAAATCAATTTGGACAGAATGGACGAACCAACGAGGTATATTGGATTGGACCAATCCAGTCCAAAATATTCATTAGATTGGATTGGACCTGGTCTGCCTGTACTAAACGACGGAGTCTCCCATAACAACCAAATATAACCGCCATAACCAATTTTACTCGGGGTTGGACTGTGATGCCAATGGACAACCCCCTCACTAGGCGCAAAACAGACATTGGAAAAGGAAGGCTAACAACCACCACTTGCCAAAGTGGGTGTCCCAGCCAACTTTGCACCTAAGCATATTAATTGTTCCCTTGGTAATGGTATCTCTTGATGAATGCATTTTATTAAAAGATGGCCGTAGCCCGTAGGTACTAAACAAAGTTTTCTCTTTCTCATTATACACAAACCTCGGAGTTCACGGAGTTCAGAATTACTGAAATCATCAAGTGCTTTAAATACAGGATTCC